GAGAAGGAGAAGAAGAGTGAGAAGAGGAAGCATGGAGCAAGAAAATGAAGAGAAGAAAAAGAGAAGTGGAAGTTAATTGTTATTCTTTGTTTGTTTTTTATGGAGCTATAGGTAGTTGAGGGAATGTTTGAAAACTGAAAATTTAATGTGTTGATATATAACAAATGAAGGAGAAGAGAGATGATGGAAATATATAGGTGTTTTTGAGTTGTTGGATTTTTTACTACTGTTTTGGGAGCTTTCATGTGAGATTTTGCTACCACCTTTTTATGGTGATTCATTGCTGAAAGGGAAAGGAGAAGGGTAGACCCTTTCCCAATGAGAGTTCCTTTGAAATCAAGAAACAAAAAGGGTCATTATAACAAATTGTCAAACCACAAATTATACTACGTTTGATGTTTTTGCTTTAATTAATCTCTTTAAATATATATGTAAGACTAAGAGTGTCCATATATGTACATACAAAATATGTTTATATTGGTTTTGCTTTTGTGTTTCTCTAGAAGATATGAGTTTTAAATGAGGTGTAAATTATTGATAATGAATTACATAAATTTTCTGTATGAACAAAATAAATAAAATAATATTTTTTTAAACGAGAGTATTTTTGACATTTCATTGAAAAAAGGGTAAAGTGAGAATAATTTTTAAAAACTCTCTATTGTAATTGGTTTAATCCATGGATGAGTCTATAGATAAAGTCTATACAAGTATTCTCCCGAATATTTATTGAAACACGTGTGTTTTGAAAAATTTCGTCATTTTATAAGATACTTAATAGAAAAGATGCAAAAATTAGACGAAAGGACATCATAGTCTGACGGAAGTAAACTATAAGGACATTTTAGTTTATTTCCTAAAAGACATGGATGAGTTAGTTGTATTTTGCAAACCTCGTTGATCATATTGTAATTTTTCATTTATTAAATCTTTGTAAAAAAAAAAGTATTTATCAAATCTACTTATTAGTTTGCATTTATAAATTCTTTAGAGCTAGCATGAATAATATGTTTTATAATATTTTGGGCTACACAACATAGGGTAGTCGTCTCCTTTAAATAACATTTACTAAACTTATGATAATATTTTGACGTGGAGAAAACTCGAACTAGAGACTGTTCACTCCTTATATTTTCTACAAAACGTAAAATTGATCGGACTAAATCTGATTAGTTGAATAATATATTTTTATCAAACTAGAGTCTAGATAGATATATTTCATACAATAAATTAAATGTGACTCATGACATTATTTTAGGGTAAAATAAAAAATCAATTTATTAATCTGTATTTGCATACTAGGGATCACATTATAACTTTATAAGAGAAGCATTGTTCGGATTGATATCCTTCCAAGTTTTCTAACTCTATAATCATATGCATTTATATGTAATCATAGTTCTATACCGTCCTAATTATTATTATTTTTATTTTTATTTATAGAGAGTCTGAATAAATTGAAATAACACTACATGCTACACAATATTGGTAGCCCTCCTTTTGATTCACCAAATTGGTAAAAACTATTTATGGGTGAGAAGATTTAATTTCGAGACCTCTTACTTCTCACATAAATAAGAGACTAACCGTAACACATTGATTGACTTGTTATTATTATTTTTTAAATTATCATTCAAAAATAAATTTATAATATCTCAATAGTGTATTTTAAATCCAGAGTCAAAATTACACAAATATACGATGAATTAATTATGTTTAAGCAATATAATTAAGAGGAACCATTTAAATCTTTTTTTTCCCCTCTTAATGAACTCCATGATAATAGTGGAACAATATCAAGAAGGTGAAATTCAAGTATGCAAATTTATACGTATGCAAGCTACATTTTGTAAGACCATAGGCAATGCAAGAAGTGCAATTGATAAAGTGATAGGGGACAAAGCAGAAAATATGAAAACACTAAATTAAGATTTATTTTTTTTTTTGTTTTAAAAAAATAAAAAGTGAGAGATGAATGCGCATTATTTTCCTCAGAAGCTGAGCATATATTTGGAATTATAGTTGGAGAGATATTCTATAATTTTCATTATAATATTCTATAAAATTTTAATTATTAAAGCTTTTTATTGATAATTCCTCGAGCTCCTATATAAATAGGCCAATCAACAACCCTCAGCACAATAGTAATAAAGCTTTAGTGAATGGAATATTACTATGTTCGAAAATAATGCTAATTTGACTGTGGATTCTCTCAGAAAAATTGATTGATGATATGATAATATAAATCTATTAATTATTTTTGTTTTTATGATGTGTACAAATTAACTGTTCAGGTAAAAAAAAAAATCTCGTTAGATAGCATCTTGAAATGAGATTAGTCTCATGTCTAAAAGGTGTGGAGATATTCGTTAAAAAGTAAAAAAAAAAAAAAAGTTAAAATTAAATTAATAAAAACAAAAAATAGAAGTAAAAATTAACACTTATTGCAAAAATTTTCTTTTTTTTTTCCCACTTAACAATATTAGTCCTGAAAGAGGGAAATTAGAATCTATTACTAAATTTATTCCACAAAATAAATTTGATTCGAATCTTTCACTAGTTTTTAACTTTTGTTTTTCCATCGAAGAATCACTTTTGGAAAATCAAAATAGTATTAATTATTTATTTTAATTTACCTAATATGTGCACTAAATATTGTTTCAATTAAATAAACATTAATTAAAAGATAATTTAGTCAATTACCTTTTTTTTTTTTTTTTAAATTGATAGCATTCAATCATTTTCTATTTTTTTAAAAAAGAAAAAAATTGCCAAATTTAGTAGAATTAGAAGAAGTATATTAAAACTTTTATTTTGTACCTTTAATCATAATATTTACTATTTTGTTTTCCTTAAAAATAAATGTAATATATATATTATTTTTTCTCATTGTTTATAATTTTTTCTTTGTATGGACATGAGAGACACATGTTTAATCTTTCATTAATATCTAGAAAATTGTCACTAAGCATCATTTTAATTTTGAATTAGAAATTGATGGTGAGGATGGTAACTTGTAGCTTGTGAAACCACAAAAGTAGCCATTCAAGCAATGTTTGACATATTAACTTGCTGTAATGTTTAACACTTGTAAGAAATCATAATACCATGAATATCTTCATAATCATGTCCTCAATGGCACCATCACACAATCTCTTAACTGAGACTCTCCACCTCAAAGATTCACACTAACTTTATATTTATATATTAGGTGGTCTCCGCACTGAGTATATATTTTCTTATTTAAAATATTAGATGTAAGCATGGTTAATCGTTAATGAGAAAATTAAATTAGGAAAATAAATTATTTTTATTCAATTTAGTTTCAATATAAGTTACTAATTTGTTTTGTTTTGATTTTAAATAATCAAACTTATGTTCTTTAACTTTAAAACTCATAAAAATGTAATCCATATAATTAAATTTCTTTAAATGTCATAATTGAATTTTAAAACTCATAAAAATGAGGAGCAAATAAATTAGGTGGGTTGACCTTATACATGGAAGGTTGTCTTTCAATTTGTCAACCCGATATTTAATTATTTATTTATTTAAATAAAGTTGAATTGGCAAAATTTAACTATAAGCTAAGCTAGCTAATTTCAACATGCAAATTCTACCTAAACCTTTGTTTGTTGGATTTTTATTTTTTGGAAAATTCATAACTTGTTCTAACCTAATTTTAATATATAGTAGAACAATGCTTAATTAGTTTATAGAATTTATGCGCAATGTACAATTTATTTAAGGTTTAATTTTGGATTTATTTTAACATGAATTTTTAACCAAAAGGTGAATTTGACCAGTTAAAAAACGCACTCAATGGGTAATTCTCATTGAAAGTTATTAAAATTCATAAAAAATATCTAATTATAAATAAATGATCAAATTGAAAGATAAATGGAGCAAAATAATAATAATAAATCCACACATAATATGGTGCATGAAATAATGGCTGATGTATTGTATAAAAAGGGGTCTATTTGACTTTTTTTTTTCTTTCTCAATACCTTTTACATACCAATGCATTTTTTTTTTAATTGACCCCTTTTAAAATTCAAAATAAACTTCTATGTTATATTTTTTTCTTTTAGGTATTAAGCCTAGAATTTTTTTTTTTTTTTTAGATTCGCCATTGGCATGAAATAATACTCCTTTTTTCAGAAGGTGAGTTTAACTACAAGCTACACAGGTTTTATTATTGTTATTATTTTTTTTCAAAAGAATTAAATACTAAATTAGTCAAAATTAACTATGGAAGTGGGTGGATATTTTAGAGTATCTGCTCGCTCTGATTTGTTTAATAAAAGTACAAGTAGTTATAACTTATAAATGGGTACGGATAATGAAATTATCACCTACATTTTATATAGGTAAGGTACAGATATAGATCTATGGGTATTTATTGCCATCACCTACTATATTAGATCAGTTTGGTCGTGAGTTTTTACGGGTATCCTCCTATTTATTAGTAAAAAATGTGTTTTAAATAAGCAGATTTGGATAATTTAAAATTTACGGATACCTTACTCGTTTAAGAGTACTTTAAATGGGTTTAGTACGGGTACATATAGTAAAATTTTAAAAATTTTAAACCGGTTTGAATATGAATATTTAAATTAATATTTAAATGAGTTTGAGATGGATATGGATAGTAAAATTATAAAAGAATATAGGTATGGGTAGCTCAAAATTAGCTAATACCTACCCCAGTTACATCCATACTTAAGGTGAGAAAATGGTCGGTTCAATTTAAATCAAATTCGAACCAAGACTAAAAATATTAGACCAAACTTTTCTGTCTGCTATTTGAACTGAACCAGTCAGTTTGGCCGATTTTAATCGGTTTTTATCATTTTGAGTCATTTTAACCGTGACCAGTTAGTTCCTGTAAAATCAAGCAGAATCACTAGTAATTTTGGTTCAAACCGACAAAATCCAATCCACTTTGAGCAGGCTATTTAGGTTCGGTCGGTCGGATGTTTTGCACACACCTCACTGTAGCCAAGATAAACATTTCTTCGTCAGCCTGTACGAGTATAGAATTGGGCACCGACTACGCCCAAAAGGTAGCGCCTCGTATAAGGAAACGACGACGTCTGATTGGACAGTACAAAAATTCGATTAGTCGTCCCTGCAAAACAAAAAGTCATACGAAGCGGAAGATCGAAATCTCCCCCAAAGTTGATTCTGATTCGAACAAGAGAAATTGAAAATGGTATACTAATCCCTCTTCCTGATTCTCTCTATATTAATTAGGGTTTCTGTTTTATTTTGATTACTCGTTCTGTTCTGTATTGCAATTCGGTATTTTTCTCCAATTTTCATATGGTTCGTTATAGGACTTCTGTGCTAGGGTTTTGGTTTCCGTGCATGAAATTAGGCCGTAGATGAAAAAACATTTTATGATTGATTTTGCATTGTTTCTCAAGTGGGATGGATTTTTTTTTTAGATTTACTATTTGAGCTTTGACCCGTTCATTCTCCAAGTTTTATAGCGGTCATATTCTGTAGGGTTTTCTATTAATTTTATTTATGTTGGCGAGGAAAGGAAAAAATCCTGTTAAAAATTCTAATTATTCCATGTTTATGGTGTTTTATTTATAGGACCAGGTCAGTTTTTTTATCAGAAAATAACTGGATTAGCTTGTAAAGGTTTTATAGAGTTTTATGTCGAGTTATATAGCCTCTCTCTGAAGTACAAATATATTTGGTTCATCTGTTTTTTTGTTCTGGATACATCTGTGCAAATTTTTTCACTTTTTTCTTAGTTCCAGATATTGCCTATTCAAATGTAAGTTCTTTTTTTCTTTATGATATCATAATAAAGGTCGCTCCTATTAATGTAATTTTTTGAATTTCATTTCATATCTTCTTTCTGAACTTGGAAGCATGCGAACAGCTTTATTTGAATATGCAAAAGAGCTGTTGTTGTTTTATTGTATTCTGGGCACTTAAGTGTTGAAAGAAGTGGTCTTGATCGAGTTAATATCCTTCATTTTCTTCTCAAAAAAAAAAAAATAATAAATAAAAAAATAAATAAAGGAAAAGAATTGGGTTGTATTAGGAAGTAGGAACAAACCTTCCTTGCTTGACATTTGGATGAAAGTCATTCTTTACTTGTTTGTTTTCATGAATTTAAGATTCTAAGTCATTTTTTTCTGGACTTGTTGCAGTCTTCATTAGCAGCAGCAAGAGCAGATAATTTTTACTATCCACCAGAATGGACTCCGAAACAGGTATACTGTCACAAAAGAACATCCTGTGACGTTGTGAATTATATTATTTTGCATCAGTATCTTTTGTGGAAAAAGGGATTCTCAATTTACCTTTTCTTTTCAGGGTTCCTTGAACAAGTTTCACGGTCAGCATGCCCTAAGAGAGAGAGCAAGAAAGATAGACCAGGGCATTTTGATAATAAGGTACCATATCATATCCCCCTATACTAGAAGGTTGATGGTATGAATTATGTGTTTGTTGTTGTGTTAAACAAATAATTTATCTAAAATATTGCCATCTGTTGATTGGAATTGACTGACTCTTGAATTGAACGGCTTAGCTTTGCAACACTGCCGGACAGCTAGTCCTGTAATTTTGAGGGATTTTAGGATCACAACTTAGAAGGCTCTCTAAGTAGAAATTATATCAATATCTTGCCTAATGACATATTCTCGAACTTTGGCCAAATGACAAATTCTTGAACTTTAGCGCTTTCTTTTATTAATTTTTCTTTTTTAATCTTATCGGAAACTTGATTTTTTTTTTTTTTTTTTTAATTTGATAAAGAAAATTTTTTATATTCTTTCACTTGTTGCATCTCCTGTAAAATCAGGCCTTGAGGTTTCTTGCATGACAGGTGAAACCCGTAAATTAACTTTGGCTCATAGAAATAACAAATAAAAATTGTCAAGAATGATAACATACTTTATTTTTCATGTTTTGTTGCGACATGAGAACTTACTTTGTTTTGATAACTCATTACGGTAAAAGTAACACATTTGCTTGTCATGTCAACAATTTTAAGGCCCAAATTGGAGATGAAATCAGTGATAGAATTTAAAAGTAACAATTGCAAAGGTTCTTCATCAAATTGAATAAAGGTAGTTCAGATATTAAGCCTAATTTTTTTTATTTCAAAAAAGGAACACATTAAAAATCTTATTCTTGAGTGGATGAAGTGTCTATATCTGAATCTCAGAACATTGAGCAACCTGAGCTAATCTTCTTAATTGGGAGATTCTTACACTGATAATTGACAACTATATATCAAATTTGCCGAACAATTATAAGATGCAGGAAGTTATCAAAATTAGTACATGGTTATATTAAAATGGAAAAGTTATGCTTAGAATAAGGGAAGTTAACGTGACCTTGACATGTTTCATAGTTGAGAAATTATTCATTGCATAATAGGTAAATAAGAGCACTCTGTTTTTTACTTTCCAAAGTCAATAGATCATCTTCACCACAGAAGCATATCAATTATCAAGAATATGTCATTAGTAGCTAAATGCCTATATATGTAAAAAAAAAAAAAAAAAAGTTTTCTTCCTCCTGTCTGTTGTATTAACTGTCTGATGTAATTTTCTTGTTCTTAGGTTCGAGATGCCATTCAATGTTTGGTGTGGTGGTTGCAATTCTATGATTGCAAAGGGTGTTCGTTTCAATGCAGAGAAAAAGCAAGTGGGAAACTATTATTCTACAAAGGTATGTCTAACTACTGAAACGCTAATTATTAGATGCTTTTTACGTTTCTAGAAAGGTCAAAATAGGCGAAAGAAGCATTCCCTATGATGTCTTTGCTTTTGTTTAGTGAAGTATATATATGTGCAAACATGTATATATGCCCTGATGGAGACTGGATTTATCATCCTGCTTCAACTGGGAGCTTTTCTTCTTGCGCTGAAGCTGAAGTATGGACTTGTATAGACACATGAGCTCAAACAAAAAGCTCCCTGCGCTGCTCTTAACCTTGTATATGATTTTTGTCCGGGGAAGTGCCCTGCTAATGATTTTTTCCACCTCCAAGCTAATTGGATAGCTCATGTTTAATCATGTCATATACTTGTTCGCAGTATGGATTATGGTTTAAACACAAGTTCCTGATAAATCTTCTTGCTTCCTTCAGATATGGAGCTTCACCATGAAATCTGCATGTTGCAAGCATGAAATTGTTATTCAGACAGATCCAAAAAATTGTGAGTACGTAATTATTAGTGGGGCTCAACGGAAGACTGAGGACTTCGATGTTGAGGATGCAGAAACGTTTGAACTTCCTGCAGATGAAGGTTGGTGTTTGCTATAGTGAAATTATAATCCTTTGCATATCTCTTCCTTTGGTTGCAAGTATTTATTTTTCATTTTCTGGAACTAACATTTTGATCCAATTCTTTGTTTAACAGAGAGAGGTAAGCTTGCAGATCCATTTTATCGTCTTGAACATCAAGGGGAAGACCTGCAGAAGAAAAAAGAAGCTGAGCCAGTATTAGTACGACTTCAGCGGGTATCTGATGCCAGGCACTCAGATGACTATGCCCTCAACAAAGCTCTTCGAGCCAGACTTAGAAGTCAAAAGAAAAGAGTTGCTGAAGAAGAAGCTGCTTCAAGGAAACTGGGACTTGGCATAAGGCTGCTTCCAGCTGCTAAAGAGGATGCTGCTACTGCAGCACAAGTGAAGTTTTCTTCCAAGTTTGACAAAAATAGGAGGGATAAGCGAGCATTAGTCAATGCTGCTTCAATCTTTTCTGAGTCTCCTCAGGGTTCCTCATCCAACAAGAGGCGTCTGGAGCTAGAAGCCAAGAGAAGGAAAATCAGCGCAGCTGCTGCCTCTAACTTGTTGAGGGGGGGATTTAAGCCATCTTCATTGTCGCGGGGTGCTGTTTCTTCAATCAGGCATAACCAAAATTCAATGATGTCAAGACATTTTTAGCTAAGGATGTTTTGATACAACAAGACTGGTGTTTTCCTTCATTTGGATTGAACATTTTGTGTGATTTTCTTTTTCCTTGTGCGAAATGGCATTATGTCCTGTACATATATACGAGTGTCTACTGCCTTGTTTTTGCATTTTCTAGCTGGCTCCTGGTGCATAGGGGGTCCAAAGGAGGTTGTATACAGTGTTGTATGCAGTGTCACCTGCATGCATGATGAATTATAATATAATGTCTAATTAATTATGCTAATGATACTCACAGGCGCTTGTTTTACTACTTACAATGCCATTTAGAATGCAAGTCTTGGAGTAGTTTTGACTATTGAATGCAACTTTGTGTCTAAGATACCCACCTCCAGGGGTGTGCACGGGATTGAGGGGAATCTCGACCCATTTTTGAAATCGTCTGGATTTTCTGTTCTAAAAAAAGTTCGATCTTAATTTATCTTCTGGATTTTTTGTTTGGAAAAAAATTAGATATTAATTTAATAGTTTTGTTCTGAATAACGTACCAAAGATAATTATGGAATGGGATATTCGATATTTTTGTTACAATTTTAAATGCTAAATTTTGAAAATTACTCAGCAATATAATAAATCTATCAAATAATTGAGACCAACGGTGAGAATTTAAATGTGAAACAGGAAGTGAAAATCTTTGAATTCCTCCATCTACAAAGCCTAGAGAGAAATGAGAAGTTGAAGAGAATCTTGGGATTGGGTAAGCAGTAACTGCAGACAACAATCAATATTTCCTGATTCAGCCAAAGAAAAGAAACATCTGTTCAGTAATAATTATTTGGGCAGTGTTTACTTCTGCTCTCCAAGATCTCTTGTCACAGTACAGACCAAACCCTAGATGATACGCACTGTCTTTAGTGTCCGCAGATTTTTAAAAGAGAAGCTTAAATTTCGGCTCAACACTGTACATATAATAAAGCAGAGACAAATATCCAAGAACTAGACAGCTTCATAATGCCAATCTCTATATATTATCTTATATCTACTTCTGCCACTTGCTAGACCTCTCTGTCTCTCTCTCCGTGTGTGTGTTATCTTTAGAAAAATTCATAATCGGAAATTAATTAGATTAAAAAAAAAACTTAAGTTATATTTTTTAAAAAAGAATATTTTTTCTGCAATGAATTTTTTAATTTTTTACAAATACACATTAAAAAAATTAACACTATGGTTGATTCGTCATATTTAAAAAATAAATATATTTAAAAATTTTCTCAATGAATTTTTTCTCCTCTTAGTGGAACTTTCTTCTTAAATCACATATAAACAAAAAGTTGTATATCATGATTTTTAAATATATTTATTTTTTAATTGTTTCTTGGAAGTGTTTTTTTAATTCATACAAATCTATTATTTTTTGTCCCTATTATTTCTCTATATAAATTATTTTTTATTTATTTTAGTAATTTTTTGATGAAAATTTATTCTAACAATTTTAATCACATTTTGTAGTTCTTGAAATATATTATAATATTAAAAATCAAGTAATTGAAAAAATCTAATCCAAATAAAAAAAAAGTCTAAGATACATAAAATAAATTGTTCATGTACATAATAGTATGCATATCATTTTAATAGTGACAATAATAAAATTATGCATACTTAGCTTATTTACATATTATAGAGAAAAAAGAATTAATTATATTTTTTTTGAATAAAAGAATTAATGTTTTTAATTTATACTTTTTCAAAATGTTGAATTAAAACTTTTTTTTATTCATAGAACTAATTTAATATTTAATAATAAATAAAAACTTATTTTTTATTCATCAGAACTAATTTAATATTTAATAGATAATAAATATAAATAAAAATAATTAATAATAAATAAATAAAATAAAAATAATAATGTTGTTATTAAATTGCTAACCTAACTTTCAAGTAGCAAATATTTGTATTACAATTAAATCCAGGTGTTCGTATAAAAATTAATCATTCAAATCTAATTGTGATGGATAGAGAAATTTTATATTCTCTAATGTAATTTTATCCTTATTTTATTTTAACAGTAATACAGTTATAGCAGCCCTGTTCTACTGGAAATAGGAGGACCTAAAACTAATTTATATATTTTTTGCAGTCTGAAAGCACCTACCAGTGCCATAAGATCACGCAACTGAACAATACAAGCAAACCCAAATAATTAGTTCTTGTAAACATGGCGAGAAAGATATATGGCAGTGTCCTTTATATCAATAATTAATTTAAATGTTGACTTGTCGCATATGTATTTATACTATTTCAATTCTTTCGTTCCTCTTTTTCTTTCCAAAACAATACTTGTACTTTCTTTCCTTTTTCTCTCTTGTTTACTTATATCTTCCCTCTCTCAGAACACTAAAACACCGATCTTTTTTGGTCGCAGAGGACAGTTTTTTCTTTGCCGGTTGACATATATATATATATATATATATATATTCTGAACAGTCACTTTCTTATTTTCTTTTTTTTTTTTTTTTAAATTTTTTTTTAAAAGAAATTTTCTTTCCACCTTCGTTATCGTAGGTTTCATCTTATGTTCTCTCTCTTTGGTTTTTTCTTCTGTGTACATAGTACGAAACAATAGAATATAACACGGCTCCTGAAAGTCCTCAGTAATATATTAGGCCTGATGAAGTTTGGAGGCATTGGCGTTTCCAGGTTAACTTTCTTATTTTCTTTTTTTTTTTTTTTTTAAAGAATTCTTTACTTCGTTATCTAGTCATTTATTTCTTCTTTGTTTTTCTTCTTTGATACATATAGACAATGATATAGCTCCTGAAGTCCTCAGTAAATATTAGGCCTGATAAGTTGGAGGCATTGGTTTCAGGTTAATCCATATGTATACGGTAGAGACCAAGTTTTATTTCAGAACAATCTTAATGACAGAGGTTCATGCATTAGTATTTAGTAGTATTCTCCATTACTGCATTGATAGTTCTTGGATGGAAGGTTGCGAGCCTGGGAAGATCGGCCTTTCTTCTCGGGCTAGGCATCTTTTGCTACTAGATATAGGCTTATCTTCTTTGTATTTCTGTCAATTATATATATAAACACACATTACAAAATAGTTATATCTGACCAGCTCCAAGCCCATAGATTCATACTAGCTGTTAATTATTAACATCTTGATCTTAACTAATAATAAACAGATTATACGTTAATCCATCAGTAAGATTTTTTTTTTTTTTTTTTTTGAGATAAATCCATCAGTAGGAATAAAAATTAATTAAAGTTTCTTTTGGGTTTCGATGAATAGAGTTCTAGGGGAACCTGCTACCTCTGTTAGACTGTTACTTTTAACGTTAATATGGTGAGAACACAGCAACTTTCATTACTGCTCATTTACTTCTCTTTCTCAATTCTTTTTCAGCTTTTAACTCTTTAATTCGTCTTGTTATGTGGATCGTATTAAATGCCTATAGCTTCAGCTTCTTCTTCTTCGTCGCAATTTGTCTTTTTTAACCTAATAATAAGTACAAAATTTTTTACAATTTAACTATATTAGAAATAATTAAGGATTTTGTATTGAGAAGAAATTAATTAAGGAAGGAATTAAAATGGGAAAAATAATACAAAAGATAAGTTAAAATTATTTTCTTATTTCTATTTACTTATTAAAGGAATAAAAATGGAAAACAAATGAAACGAAAGTTGTTCGCCAATGATAGAATCTGAAAATACATCCTTAATTTTGTATTAAAGATAATTTTAATGTATAGATTATTAATTTTAAATGCATTTACAACTTGGGGGTAAATTTTTTAGGTCACCGTTGAAGTTTATTTAATAATTAATAACAATTGTCTCACTATAAGATCACAAATTCAAATCAGTCAAAATCTAAAAATAAAGGGAAAAAAAAATGGCGAATGGTCTGTAGCGCAAATGGCAACATGCACTACATCTTTCGACTCTACATTAATAACCAATTAATTTTACCCCTTATGCGTGGGGATGACCTTAATGGGTTATAATATTATTGTAGTTTCTGTGATTCATATTGTATAATATTTCTTGTACATAGTATCTAATATATGTCAAATAGCAGGTTATCTAATTAAGGGCTTTGGTGCCCAATAATTGTAAAGGGCCTGGAATTTTTTCTTATAATCGCTTTAATCTCGTTAATAAAAGTTCGATAAGGCTGGACGAGCTTTTGAGTCTAACATCGTTAGAATCGAGCTCGGCTCGATTGCTAAATGATTAGGCTCGAGCTCGATTCGAGCCTAACCTTTTTAAATTTTTTTCGAGCTCGAGCTCGATTGCTAAATGATTAGGCTCGAGCTCGATTCGAGCCTAACCTTTTTAAATTTTTTTCGAGCTCGAGCTCGATTGCTAAATGATTAGGCTCGAGCTCGATTCGAGCCTAACCTTTTTAAATTTTTTTCGAGCTCGAGCTCGATTGCTAAATGATTAGGCTCGAGCTCGATTCGAGCCTAACCTTTTTAAATTTTTTTCGAGCTCGAGCTCGATTGCTAAATGATTAGGCTCGAGCTCGATTCGAGCCTAACCTTTTTAAATTTTTTTCGAGACCCCCTAGTTTAGTAACATACCGGTTCCTTAAATTTTTTTTTAGTTGTTTTTTGACATGTCAGTCCTTAAAAAATATTTTTTCAGTTTTTGGACATCTCAATCCCTCCAAAGAAGTTTTTTACAGTTTTTTGGACATGTTGGTCATTTGAAAGAAATTCTTCTTCAGGACATCAATAAAAATTTGGCTTCAAGGATTTTTCTTAGCCTGTTAGGCACGGGTAAGTTTTGCTCCAATTAGGTTCTGATACCACTTGTTAGCTTTAGAATCTCCAAATTTAATGAACTACTTAATTAACTTTAATATTTCCATGTATTATTTCTAACAACGATGATATTAGTGATTAAAAGAAGGATTATAAGATCAATAAAGAGAGCTAAGAGGAAATAGTAATAAAATTACAAGTAGGAGTATAAACGAGCCAAGTTGTTTGGCTCGCATATAGTGCAAGCTGTTTGGCTCAAATCGAGCTCGAGCTAGTTCGTTAGCAAACAAGCTGAGTTTGAACATAATGATATTCGGCTTGAAAGTTCGTTGAACCTTATTGAGCTTTTATATATACATATATAATATTTATTTTAAATTTATTCAAACATCGAACTTAAAATTTTTCAAATTGACCTCGAGTTTTAAGTCGAGTTCAAACTTAAAATCTTTAGACTCGTTGAATTTTGAGTCAGCTAAATATTATTAAACTGAGCTCCGTGTCCTGAGCCCAGCAGGTTCAAGCTAAGATCGTAGTCGTTTACACCTCTAATTACAAGAATCCAAATCAAACCTGTAAGCTATTATCAGCAACTTTTGGAAAGTATTCTATAGGGAACACGTAAGCGAGGAACAGGATCAAAAATTAAAAAAAAAAAAAAAAAAAAAAAAAAAAAAAATATCAGCCAATTTTGGAAGAGTATTCTATTAGGGAACACGTAAAGGCGAGGACACAGGGATCAAAAAATTTAATAAAAAAAAAAAAAAAAAAAAAACACCATAAAAAAAAGGGAAAAGGAAAAAGACAGAATTCCAGTAGTAGGTATATATATACTACTAAAAAAAAAAAAAAAAAAAAAAAGGGAAAAGGAAAAGACAGAATCCATAGTAGGTATATATATATATATATATATTCGTAAGTTCTTTTTTTTAATTTAGAAGTATATTAGGTGATATATGAGAGGTTTACAAATGCAACCTGTGCCTGAATTATATATAATTTATGATACTAAAGATGAGCTGGAAATTAGAGTGCTAATTAAACCAATTAAGGGAATATTTTAGTTTTATCACCTTTAAAAAGAAATCAGTATATATAATAGTATAGCTTTGAAGTTAATGTAAGATATATATACCTCAGATGATAGTTTGATGGAGTTGTAATATGTGGATTTATGATTGAATGACCAACACTATAACTTAATCATGCAATTCTTTACTTTTAGCCTGCTATTAGCGCTGCTATATTATATCATATATATATATAGTATATATATTATATAGTATTTATCCCCGTACTTATATTTATATACAGATTATTCTCTATGATTAACCTCATTTTTCCTTTTTTGCTTCAATTGAGTTTTTTACTGATTACTTGTGGATTCTTTAGGCTGTAGCCAATATTCCTTGGGATCTCCAAGCAGTACACTCTGTATTTCTTTTGAGAATTCCATAGTATCTCATATTTGGAACTCTTGATCTACTTGATGTATAGAATCGCACAGTCCACTCGTAATGTTAAAGAGGTAAAACATTTCTACACTTCTAGGAAATTATTATCTAGGCTATGTTATGTGAACTATATTATATATAGATATATCTATATACTCATTTTCCTTTTTTGCTTCAATTGTTTTATGATTACTTGTGATTCTTTAGCTGTAGCAAATCCTTGGGATTCAAAGTACATCTGATTCTTGAGATTCAGAGTATATATTTGAACATCTGATTCTTGATGTATGATGACAGTCTCGTATGTTAAAAGGTAAAACATTTTACTTCTAGGAAATTATATCTACTATGTTATGTGACTATAAATTTATCCTTTCTTCATCATAGTAATTGTTTAACTAATGGGTCAGCTTTGTTAAGAAAATTGGAGTTAAATGAAATCATAAATATAAACTTATATCCCTACCTGGAGCCGTTGCCTGCTAACCTTTACTGCCTCATCAAAACTTCTTCAAACTCTCTTGAAATCATTTCTGCATGAAGCTAGAAAATTTTCTAATATTAACAAATTTATCTATATTTCTATCGACTATGTGTTTTAATATATATAGATCATGCATGCTTGTTTAGTTGTTTAGTACAGAGACAAATCCAACAACTAGACAACAGAGAATAGCTCCTGCCCTAAAGGAAAATTTTATAGCATAAGACATAGCCAACATGATCTTTTCTTTTCTTTTTCCTTTTTCTTTTTTGGGTTTTAGCACACTCATAATCTAGGAACTGCTTAAGCTATTCACAATTAATACAAGTTTCCATAGTTATTGGAAGCTTTAGGGTTACAGAAGAGGTCTTCTATGAGACTATGAGAAGGCAAAGCAGCATCTGTTGCAGCCATGGGAATTGGATTAGGATTTTGCTTGTTGGAAATTGAGAAGTTCATAAAAACTGAATTAGGGTTTCCTTCTTGGGTGTTTAAAGTAGTAGCGGCCATGATAACTGAAGTAAGGTTTTGTTCTTGGGAATTTGAGGTAGTCATGAATATTGAATTAGGGTTTTGTACATGAAAATCACCTGTTGTCAGTAGCTTCATATTTGGAATTGCACAATGTCTATTATTACCATAATTACCTCTTCCATTGCTAATCTCCCAATTCCCAGCAAAACATGAAAACTCATCCTTGAAATCAGCTCCATTTGACACCACATCGTTACGAGACGACAGATCGAAAATCGAAGAAGATTTTTGCGCATCTGTAAGCCCCAAAAATTTGTCCACTTGATCTTGCGAGAAGTAATTTCTGTCATGTCCTTTTTCTTCTTCTTCTTCTTCTTGTTCTTCACCAGCCATTTTACCAGTAAACCCTAAATTGTTAGGGTTTTCTTGTTTTGACTTGTCAAGAATTTTAATTTTTTGCTTCTCTTTTGTTCTTTCTCTCGCTCTCGCTCTTGCCTTTTCTCTACTCTCTTGGTTGAAAGCCGTCTTATTGGGTTTCTTGCTTTGTTTCAGTCTCAAAAACGAGCTATCTTCTGTTAAAACCATTTCCTTCTTGTCTCCATTTTCTCCAACGGTAACAGTCTTGCTACCTGACATAACTTCACTTTCTGAAGTAGAAGAAAAACTATTACATTGCTTCACTCTTGGAACACTATCTGCAAGTTCTTTAATGGCAGCCTTGGATTTTGTAAACAACCAATCAATGGTTTTACTTGCTTTATCAAAACCTAACATATCTTGAAGATCAAAGAATTTTCTAGCAATTCGGAGCGATAATCTCATTCTTCGGTCTCTTGGCCCTTGAGCTGTATAAATCTTGCTATGTCTGTCTTTTTTTCCACTTCTTTTTCGAGCAACTGGTAGCGTTTTAGGAGCCTTTATATCATTTTTCTTCTTCTTGTTATTTTGAGTAATCTTCTTTGAAGAATTAGTTGCAGGGACTTCTTGAGCAGTCTCTGCTACTAAATTAGTATCACAAACCAGAACTTGCTGTTCTTGCTGATGCGGCTGGGATAGGAATTCGTTCAGGAGTAGATCAGCATCATCAAGAAAGGGAATTGCGGGTGGAAAGTGCAAAAAATGTGAGGAATTGTCTTCTTGGATTAAGCTATTAGGGTTTTCAGTATATTGAAAAGGATTAAAGTTACTGGTTGAAGAAAACATGATTATTCCTGAAGTTGTAGAGCTATATAATAATCAGTAGTATTTATAACGGAGAGAAAAGATTTATGCAGAAAAAATAGTAGTACTAAAATATGAAAAGATAGGAAAATAGAAACATAAGAATGGGGTTATACCGCATATGATGCTCAAAGAAGAGAGAGGATGTAATGGATTAGAATTACCAGGATTGGGTCTATGGATCTATGGATTAGATAGAGGTTTTTTTTTTTTTTTAAATTGTTCACTTTATTTTTTTTCCACTAAATTATCAGAAATAACATATTTTTTATGAAAATCTATTTTTGATTGATTTGATCTATAAATGAGTCTATAAATTAGATGTAGACAAGTCAGCCTCAGTTATATTTATGAACAAAAAATTTAAACTAGAATTAATTAGGGTGAAACTAAAACTGTCTTCATGAGTGGGACAGTGTCCCTCCTTGTTTGATCGATTATTATTCCTGGTTAATGGAAGTTAAATTTTTCCTTTAAAAAAAAATTAATTAGGCGATGGAGATTGACTTGTCTAGACCAGTCCATGGCCTTATCCATGAACCAAATAAATGAAGATTTTTTTGTTGAAAAGGAGGTATTTCTAACCATTAACTGGAGATTGATTTGGCTAGACCCGATGCATTAGCTTAATCATGATCCAAACTAGTGAAAAATAATTTTTTATTAAAATAAAAATATTTCTGACATTCATTGAATAAAAACAAGAAAACAAGGGATGACGTATAAACAATTTTTAAAAATTCTCAATTTGATTAATTTGATTTATGGGTGAGCATATATATATAGAAAAATCTAATTCTAAGGGGATAATATTGTCAATGCGAAAAATATTATCAAGATATTTTGTTAACATTTAAAATTGTCAAAATTATCTTTTCATTTCAGTTAAATATTATTTCTTATTTTTATTTTATTTCCATTAATATTTTATTGTTTTTTATCACATAAATCATTAATTTTCAAATCTCCACCATTCAATCTAGCAAGAATTTTTTTTTCTAAGAATTGGAATAATAGGTGATACGTATTAAATATTAATAAAAGTAAAAGGAGAAAAAAAAAACTAAATTAACTATTAATTTAATTTAAAATTTGCTCTGGTAATTTTAGTTTTCGCTTTGGTAAAAATGCTACCCATTAATTAAAGTTGAAGCCCTGTATGCTATATAATGAGCAATGTTATTTCTTACATGGACACTTCACGTGGGTACAGGTGTTTGCTTGATGCTGATAGCAACCATACTTAGATTAAACTATTTTCTTTTTCTTTCTTTTCTGAAAGTGTGTGTATAGCTGTTAGGAGCAGTGGGTGAGTATAATAGAGATGGACAGCTCTAGAGACCCTAAGCTAGAGCGAGGGGCTGAGGGAGGGAAAGAAGAAGGACGACAAATAATTATATCTGTGAAGAGAAGGGGCATGTAAAATTGAGCCAAACTTGCTTTTTACCTCCATGAAAGGAGAAAGTTTCTTTGACTGGGAGACCAAATGTCTTTTTCATTTCTCTGTCTCTGCCATTTATTTTATCCATAGATTCTTTAGAGCTCCTCTGATCTAAATAATCTTATTACAGCTTACAACACTTAGGCCCGGTTTGGTTTAGTTTAATTATTCATACTATATTGGTACACGATAGCATATAGTAGTTTTTGATATATAATTGATAACTGGCCGTTGGTATCTGCTGGCTCATGAATATTTGTGTTTAATAAAATTTCGATAAAAAATATTGATTTAGAAAAAATAATTTTATTAATAAGTATTTTTAGGAGATTAATGAAGTCCAATAATATATATCCTTAAATCACAGGCTTACACACACTTAGGCCCGGTTTGGTTTAGTTTAGATATTCATAACTGATATTGGTACAGAGCGATAGGCATATAGTAAGTCTTTTGATATATAATCTGGAATAACTGCCCCGTTGGTACTGCTGGCTGCTCGAATATTTGGTGTTTAATAAAAAGTTTTCGATAAAAAAATATTGATTTTAGAAAAAATAACTTTTATTAATAAGTATGTTTTAGGAGATTTAATGTAAGCTCCAATAAATATATAATAACCGTGATACTATATATATATATATACCTATAGTATATAATAATCTAACTAATTGGAAATAACAGTTGCATTGACAGAATTCTAGTTAGCTAGCTACAATCGCAACCAAGCACCCTGGGTAATTCATTACTGGTCGGTGTAGAACTACAAATCAATGTATCAGCCTTTTTATTTTATGAGTGTCAGTTGAAAGTCACACAGTAATTCTTGAATTAAGTGATTTTTTTTTAAATATATCGGACAATTTATTTCTTTGCAAAGCGATCCCCTAACGCAAATGATGGAGAATGATATTCCGATATATACTAACTAATGGAATTAACAGTTGATTGACAATTCTATTAGCTGCTAATCAACCAAGCACCTGTAATTTTACTGGTCGGTAGATACAAATCAATTATCAGTTATATGATTCAGTTGAATCACACAGTATTCTTAATTAAGTGATTTTTTTTTAATATTGGACAATTTATTTCTTTGCAAAGGATCCCTACCGCAAATGATGAGAATGATATTCCGGGTCCTTTGACCCGTGTTTTATTCATACCCTTGTAGCCAATTAATAATTAACTGATGTGTGTGCATGTGTATGATATTTTTAATACATAGGCATATTTGGTTTAGCTATTTATATCAGTTGATAATCAACTTGATAGCTGTTAGTGTATGATAAAACTTTAATAGAAATAACTGATAAAATGCAGAAGGATGATTATAGATGTAATTATTTTAATATATATAATATTATATATAATTGTATTATATAAACAAAAAGTATTAATTTAAAAAATAATAATATTCTTTAGTGGTTATTTTTATGAGATTTTGAGATCCAAGTAAAATATAAATACAAATCAGTTATTAACTCATATTTGATCAAAAACTGATTGAAACAAACTTCTATAGCTATCAACTATTTATTAAAAAACTTACCAAATACTTATAATCTTGTTGTTAGATACGAATCAACTATCAATTGCATGAATCAGTTGAATCAAACATTCTCATAGTATTTATTCTTTAATTTTTCATTTTGTATTAAGTAAATACTAATTTTGCATTTTTACTCTTCGCAATACAAATATATGTATATATATAAATTAATAAATCCTTAATTGAATGAACAAAGCCCTATTCGATTGTGTTAGTAACAGTTAATTGTCCTATACTCTTATTAGTTGTCAGATATTTCACTAATGTTTCATCAAAAGTTAAAAAAGTAATATTTCATAATTTACTCTCACAAACTCTGAACACTAATATAAATTTTATGAATCGACATTATAAATAATAAAAGTTGTGTTTTGATCAAATAAAAGAACTCCCTGCATGAAAAATTGTTGTTGAATAAAGGTTAAAATAAAGACTTTAGGACTTTTAGGTCCAACTTTAATCCTCATTCTCAAAGTTTAAAAATCGTAATTTGTATTTTTTTTTTTCTCACGTACATGTATTTTCATGTTCAAATCAATATGGTACTTTAGCAAAGGCTCTTTTAGCAATGTAGTTTTCATACCATGCCTTTAATAGACGTGTTCTGTTTTTATCCGTGAATTTAAAGCTTAACTTGCAGCATTATATCAATATATGTGTTAAGGATTGACTTGTCTTTATCGATGTTTTCATTTGTTTGATTTATGAATGAGCTCAGAGTCTATAAGTCTAATTTATATATTTTGTTTTTTTTGTTAAATAAAATTTATTCAAGTCCGGTTATTAGGTTCACTCATAATAAATCAATCACAATATAAATTCTTAAAACATTATTTTCGTCTTATCGTTTTTTTCAATAAATACTTAAAAATGCCCTCATTTAAAAAAAAAAATCATTTATTAGCTTGTGTACGGTGTGGATCTCGATCTAGATATGTGATTTGAAAACTGCGTTAGTGGATTAATGTAAAATTAAAAATTTTCAGTACAAAAATCAAATCTCTTTGGACTAACCGCAAAAATATTCCGACTTTTACGACTTGTTGTAATACTCTGAAATGACCTTCGTTCCTTTGGTACCCAAACTTAAAAACTTAAATATATTGTTATACTAAATGTAAAATTAGTTAGGGGTTTACAATATAATGATAATAAAACAGGTACCACCTAATCAGCTTGGGTTACCTTGATCCAAGCCCCCTAAAAAGAGTAAAACGTACCGTTTAGGCAATAACATTAGTTGGCCTTTCGTGCTCAGTGCCAGAGTTAATGGATCCATGCCCTTTCGTGCGGCCGTCGTATCCTACATGCTTCTTGAGAACAACCAGTTTCCCGAAGGACGTGCTCAAACTATTGCCACCACCTTTCACCTCAGCGAGTCCAATCTTGACCGCCTAGTTGCAAAATCTATTTTCGCTGGAAAACTCTACGTACATCAAAATCTCTATTTATATTGGACACTGTGGCACCACCTGCGTCGTTAACTTGGGGAGGCTGCTTGGGAAGGTCTCCGTCTCGTTGGATATGGCAGGAACAAAGTCTAGAGCTTGTGTTTTTCACAATAGATGGATTTTTGTTGGAAAAGAAACTACCAAAGGATCCTCTGCTTAGTTTCATTTGAACGTAAAGGCAAAACCAAACCCGAGATTTGTGTTTTAGTTTGATGGCGAGCCTAAATGCAGTCCTCAAGTATTTTAGATTCAAGGGAATATTAGGCAACCGGTTTTCACTTGCAAGTTTAGTTACATAAATATCAGCGACCGGGATCAACGATCTAGGTTAGTATAAGCTATCAAGATATGAGATGAATGGGGAAGGATCGATGGAGATGGAAAGGGAATTAGGGATAAGGTTTCTGTTGTCCAAACGATGCATTTTGCTCTCCTTAAGAGCTTGGGTTAAATTAACCTAAGCTGAATTTATTATTATTATATTATAAATCCTAGCTAATTTTGTATTTAGGATGACAATACATTTAAATTTCTAAATTGAGGTATCAGAAATACGAAAATCATTTTAAAGTGTTATTGCAACTGTGTCTTAAGTATTTTTATAGGTTGGGCAAATCCCTTTAATGGATCCCCTGCAAATGTTTCCTTATATTTGTTTTACACGAGCATGCAGCCATTTACAGTTGCCTTCACAAATCACAATCATGTGGTCCTC